CTGGGATGCCCCAGAAGAGAGGGCGCATGCGTGTTGGTCTTTCCACCCCCCCCCCCCCCCCCCGAGTGCCCCCTCCCCCCCCCCACACACACACACATCTCTTTCCCCTCCTTCCTCCGCGCCCGATCAAAACGTATTTATCACCCACTTCCCCGCACCTTCCGCTCCTTCGCCGCCCGCGGCGCATGCCCCCTCCTGCCGCCGCCCCTCACCAGCCCAGCCACAAGGCCCATGCCACACTTGCCACATCACCGAGACCCGCACTGACCTTCCTGCGTCTCTCCCGCGGCACACACACACACACACACACAGTACCCTAGCCCTTCTCGCACACCATGAACGCCCAGATCTCCGCCGCCGCTCGCGCGAAGATCATGTACTCGGAGAAGTATGCCGATGACAAGTACGAGTATCGTCACGTCATCCTGCCCAAGGAGATTGCGCACTTTGTGCGCGGCGACAAGCTGCTCAGTGAGTCCGAGTGGCGCGACCTCGGCGTCACTCAGTCCCACGGCTGGGAGCACTTCATGTTCCACACCCCGGAGCCGCACATCCTCCTCTTCAAGCGGGAAAAGGACTACATCCAGCGCTATGGCAACCGCCCGCGTGCCCAGGTCATGGAGGAGGAGGCCGCTAAGAACGGTGGCTTCGCCCCCGGCGCCAACAAGTAATTCCTCGGCCGGCTGTGCTCCCGCCCCGGTCCCCTCTCGCTCCCTCTCTCCCCCTCTCATCGTCTCTCCTCCTGTTGCCCCACTCTCCGACCGAGGGGCGTGCATCGTCTTTTACACGCTCCTTCCTGATGCCGTGTGAGACTGCCCACTCGCACGCCCATCCCCTTTCACATTCCGTGGGGTCTTCCCCCTTCCCGCCCCGCCACCGCTCCCCGGCTCCCATCTCGGTTTGTCCTCCCCCCTCCCTCCCCCTCTCCGCCTGGCCAAACTGGGCTGGGAACGGGGGCCTGCCGCGCCCGGGCAGGAAGCAGGTGACACCACCTCCCGCGCTTCCCCCCGGTCTCCTGTGAGGCCATCCTCTTCCACCACCCTTCGCTCTCCCTCCCCCCCCTCTCCTCGCTCTTCTTCCAGAGTTGAGTTGTGCCCCGCCACGAGGCCCCTCTTCCCTGGCCTCCTCCTTCTCCCTCGCCCCCCCCCCTCCCTGCTTCTAGCTGCTACCGTCTCCCCGGCCGCCTCTCCCTTTATCAACCCCTCCCGGGATGAGTCGGTGAACGGTTCGGCGCGCGGGAGCCAGGCATGTCCACCCCCCTCCCCCTCCTCCCCCCCCCCTTCACATCCTTCTTGAGGGACATAAGGCATCGTGCGCGGGAGAGCGATGCGTGCGCCCTGACGATGAAATACACCCCACTCGTCGCCATGCGCGCATACACACACACATACATGCTTCTCCCTGTCCTTTTCTCGGCCGCCGATTCAAGGAGCAACAACAAGAGCAGCGAAGGGAATGGGCTTCCGAATGCACTCTCTCCCGCCCTCCTCGGCCCCTGGCCCGGAAAAGGCCAACCGCAAGGTGAGACAAGTGCCCTGGGATGCCCCAGAAGAGAGGGCGCATGCGTGTTGGTCTTTCCCCCCCCCCCCCCCCCCCCCCCAAATGCCCATTTACCATGCCGGCGGGCTGCGCTTTCCTGCCCGCCTTCTTCCTGTCTGCCTGCCTGTGTGCGCCTGTGCATTGGAATAAATACCCATCCTTGTGTTTGGGTCCCCTGTGACTGACCTATCTGCCTCGGCAGAACACACACACACACACACACACACACACACATGTACATACACACAAACGTGCGAGCAAGATGAACGGACCGCAAACGCCGAAGAAGGCATTGGCTGACTCGCAGCCGCAAAAAGGTGCCCAGAAAACCCCTTCGGTGTCACGTGTATTCTCGTGCATTTGTATCATGCGCCACTGTGTAGAATCGAATGGTGTTCCGCTCCATTGGCATGCCCGTCCCCCAGGGCTTGGCGACCCTCTCGTCTGTGCGGCCGGCGTCTTTCCACACGGGTCATCGGGCGACGCACCGACGCGAGGGAGCGGAGGCCAGTCGGTCGGCCTCGTCGCATGCATGCATGGGCAGCCCCGCCGCCCAGCCCGCGTCTGCCTGGATCCTAAGCGCCGGAGATGCGACCAGTTCCGGACCTCCGGATCCCCTGGTTAAATCCCGGGCCTAGGGTCGAGGTCTTTTTCTATCGCCCGCCCCCCCGGGGGACCGGACCCGCGCCCCGCTCGCTCGAAATATACGCTGCCCGGTGTTGCGGGAAGGGGGCGCAGGGCGGGGCGGGGGGGGGGGGGGGGGGGGGGGGAACAGCATGGGGGGAGGCACAAGGCCACGACTTGTGAGTTTGACCGAGCGTACCATGCGCGCGTCCCGGCCCAGCGTCGAGATGCCGCGCGCACGCGTCCGCGGCCTCTTCCGTGGGCGCCAGCCCGGGGGGGAACACGGGCGCGGGGCCATTTGTCCGGAGAGACGCCGCCCGTCGGACTGCCCACTAACCTGGCGGCAAGGGTGTTCAGAAACCCACTCTGAAGAGGCGCCCCGTAACCGGTGACTCCCGCGGTCCCTCCTCCACAACCGACTCTGTCCCCGATTCCTTTTTTTCTTTCTTTGTACCTCTCCCCGCCCTTTGCCTCCTCCCCTCCTTCCCCTCCCTCCTCCCGTCCCCATTCGATTGTCCCCCCTCCTTTTCTCCGCTCTAACCGCGCCTGCCCAACCTCACAGAGAGGACCCGCGCCCCAGTCGATCTACCACCATGAGCGTCGCAACTCGTATCGCTGAGATCGAGGCCGAGGTACGTCCGCACCGCGGCGAACATGCCGGCTCCGCAGCCCGCACGTGCGTCCCCCCCCCCCCCGCAAACCGTTCTGCGACTTACCCAGTGTCCTCCCCCACCCCCTGCCTTCCTCCCCAATGACGACCCGCCCGCGCCACACAGATGGCCCGCACTCAGAAGAACAAGGCCACCGCCCTGCATATCGGTATGCTTAAGGCCCGCCTGGCCAAGCTCCGCCGTGAGCTGCTCGAGCCGTCCGGCGGCAGCGGCGGCGGCGGCCGTGGTGAGGGTACGCACATCCTCGGCGCCCCCCCCCCTCTCTCCTCCATGCGCTCTTGCCGATCCTTGAGCGCATGTGCATGCGCGCGCATGCACACACACACACACACCCATCCCCTCTCCCCTCCCCCCTCCCCACCACTGACCCCGAGCACCAGGCTTCGACGTTGCCAAGACCGGTGTCGCGCGTATCGGCTTCATCGGCTTCCCTTCGGTCGGCAAGTCCACCCTCATGTCCAAGCTGACCGGCACCGAGTCGGCCGTGGCTGCCTACGAATTCACCACCCTGACCACGGTCCCCGGTGTGCTGTACCTTCGTGGTGCCAAGTTCCAGATTCTGGATCTGCCCGGTATCATCGAGGGTGCCAAGGATGGCAAGGGTCGTGGTCGGCAGGTGATCGCCGTCGCGCGGACTTGCTCCCTGATCTTCATGGTCCTGGATGTGATGAAGCCCCTGGGCCACAAGCGGATTCTCGAGGGCGAGCTCGAGGGCTACGGCATCCGGCTGAACCGGGCCCCGCCGCAGATTACCTTCCGGCGGAAGGAGCGCGGTGGTATTGCCATCTCCTCGACCGTGACCATGACGCACCTGGACAATGACGAGGTTAAGGCCATTTGCAGCGAGTACCGCATCCACAACGCCGATATCGCCTTCCGGGAGGACTGCACCGCCGACGAGCTGATCGATGTCATTGAGGGTGACCGCCTGTACATTCCCTGCATCTATGTCCTGAACAAGATCGATCAGATTTCCATCGAGGAGCTGGAGATCCTCACCACCAAGACCGATCATGTTGTGCCCATTTCCGCGCACCACGAGTGGAACTTCGACGAGCTCCTGGACAAGGCCTGGGACTACCTGAACCTCAAGCGAATGTGCGTATGCTCTGTGCCCCCCCGTCCCCCCCCCCTCCTCCCCTCGCGCGCGCGCGCGAGCTCAGCAGCAAGAGGCTCGAGATTCACCGGCGGGGTGACGCGGCGAGCGCCATTGACAGCCAGTCGCCAGGAGCATCTTCCTTTGCCATCCACGCGAGCCCCCTTTCCCGTTGCCTTGCCTGACACACGCCTCTGCTTCGCCCTTTCTCTCTCTCTCTCTCTCCCTCTCTCCCTCGCTGCATTCTCGGCCAATTCAACTCCTGGCGCGACCTGCTCACACATACACACACACACACACACACACACACACACACACGCAGTTACACCAAGCCCCGCGGTCAGCTGCCCGACTACTCGGCCCCGGTGGTCATCAAGGCCAGCAAGTCCACTGTTGAGGACTTCTGTAACGCCATTCACAAGGGCCTCGCCCGCGACTTTAAGTAGTACGTTGTTGCTCGGGCCTCTGCTCATCGGGCAGGGGCGCGCACCTTTCACTGCTGCCTTGTGCCCGCCTTGCCATCGCCAGCTGACACCCGCCCTCCCCCATCCTCCTTGCCGTCCTCTTGCCCCTCTGCCAGTGCCTGGGTCTGGGGCTCCTCAGCGAAGCACAACCCCCAGAAGGTTGGTATTGACCATGTTCTGCACGATGAGGATGTCGTTCAGATTGTCAAGAAGAGCGGCTAAATGTCTTCCCTCTCCCGCCGCCGCACTGTCTCGCGCCGGTACCTGGTGTGCAGAGCAGAGCCAGAGGCGTGGTGGGGCATCCGCGGCTGGCCGCGTCCACGGACGCCGCAGCCGAAGGCGCAGCCCGACCAATACCATTCCTTCGTCCCCCTCCCCCGCTGCACGGCTTCCCCTCTTGTCCCCCTCCGGTCCGGTCCCGCACTGAATACAGACCCTTCACACGCTTTTTTCTTTCGCCCCCCTGCTGGCTCTACTTGCCGGGACCGAATGTCCCGTGCCCCTGTGTGGTATGACAACTTCAACAATATCCTGCCTTTGCTCTGAGGAGGCCCTCGTTGCTGTCTCTCGGGTCGAGCAGGAACATGTATTCGCATCTTGGCAATGCGCCAGTGTGTGTGTGTGTGGGGGGGGGGGGGGGGGGGGGGGGGGGGGGGGGGGGGGGGGGGGGGGGGGGGGGGGGGGGGGGGGGGGGGGGGGTACGAGGAAAGGGCCAGGGAGAGCAGCTGGGAGAGAAGGTGAAAACCACGGGCCGAGGAAAGGACAGCGACGCATAGCGGGGACCTGTGTCCGTCAGTTTGATGGGTTCGGCCGCCACCATGCGCGCAGGCGCTGCCACGAACAGGCCGACACTTGGGCCAAGACCCGCGGGCATCGGGCGCGCAGGAACCGCCCACCCAGGGCCACAGCCACCCCCGAGACCAAGGCGAGCTCGGCCAGCAGGAAAAGAATCTGCCACATGAACGAGCCGAACAGCTGTGAAACACCACGGGGGAGCCAAATCCCAACAAGGATGAGCGAGGATTGGGAGGTGATGAACGACGAAAGGCTGTTAGGCAAGCCGGAGAAGAAGTGAAGTGAGGCTCACAGACAGGGAGGGAGGGAGGGTGGGGGGGAGTGTGTGTGTGTGTGATGGGCTGAGGAAAAGATCGCACCGAGAACGGAGTGCCGACCGCAACGATGGCCAGCGCCACAGCCGCACCCTGAACCAGCACCGCATGGTAGCGCTCCTCCTCCTGCACGGCCAGCCAATTGGCCGCCAGGCGTGGGTGGGCCGGGGCCCCGGCTCCGGCCTCTTGCGGTGCCGGGGTATCCCCGGATGCGGGCCATGCAAACGGATTCCGGCTGTCCAGGCGACGCTGGTTGGAGGTCTGGCCGCGGGACTTGTTGTACAGAGCACACACCCACTTGCCGACCGGGCGCGCGCGCAAGCGCAAGACATCCGCTCGAGACCAGTCGCCCGACTGACCGGTGGCCTCAGTGTTGAAGCCAATCAGCGCCGACCATATCCGGTCCGCGGGAGTCAGGGGCTCACTGGCGACGAAAGGAGGCGAGAGAAAGGGAGCGAGGGGGACAGGGGGACAAGCAGCGTCAGTGCCCCGGGAGACATGGTGTCCCTTCAAGCATGGTGGCAGCGCTCCCGGCAAAGGAGACCCAAGAGAGGGGAGAGGGAGGGAAAGCGCACCTCTCGCCGGGGGCAGACAGATGCCCGATCGACGGCACACGCATTGTCAGCTTGCTGCCGATGGTTGTCCCATCGGCGCACAACAGTGGTGCCAAGGCGCAGGCAATGGCAATGTCGGCGGCCGTGAGCTTTGTGCTGGGCGAGGCTCGACCGGATGGGCCATTCGGATCGATGATGTTGTCGTCGGCCCCACGCTTGGCGTCGGGGGTCGAGCGCTGGGCGCCACGAGTTCGAGGCACATAAGGCTCAGGGAAGTGCTTGGCAAAGAGGGGGTGCTCGCTCAGTCGGCGCATGGCCGCATCCGCGTCCAAGACCAGGCCCCCGACGGCCTCCGGCTCCGGACACAGTGAAGCATCGATCAGATCGATGAGCGTCTCAGCTCGCGCGCGCATATCCCGCGAAAGAGCTGTCGAGTATAGACGCCGACCGGGTAGCAACCCTCCAACAGCCGCCACCAGCGGGAAGGCTGCGCGGTAGGCCTTTGAAGTGCGAGAGGGAGAGAGAGGGAGAGAGAGGGAGAGAGAGGGAGGGAGGGAGGGAGCAAAGAACAGAGACGAGTGCCCGGTGGGGGAGATTAGCCACAGCCGAGCCCAAGATCAAACACCAAGACCCAGAAAGTGAGTCCCCGCCCGGCGCGCTGTCGCAAGCACGCAAGCATGCAGACAAGCAAATGAGCAGCAAGGCAAATGCAAGGACTCGACCGCGGGAGAAGACCAAGAGAGGGCGAGGCAAACACCGGAATCGGAACATACCACGCGAGACCACGCATAGAAGCGGCCCTCGCGCCGGGGAAGCTCGGCAAAAACACACGTCTCACGAGCCGCCTCTCGGGCAAGACACGTCCGGTCGATGACGCGCTGAGAATATGGAACCAATTCCGCCTCCACCCACTGGGCCAAATGGAGCACCGACGTCGTGGGATAGATCATGTACAGGGACGGGAAGGATTTGGCCATCAGGTAAATGGCTGCCGAGGTGGCATTGTTGTAGGCCACCTGCATGCCCGCATGGTCCAGCAAAGGGGGAAGGACAGAACGTGAGTGCCTCCAATGGGAGCAAGAAAGCAGCGACGACCGGGAGAGGGGGGACCCGCCAGGGGGAAGAAGTAGCCACCACGCACTTGGGGACAGCCACCCGGCTGGGTTTGATCGTTTGGCACCACAAGCAACGGGGCGCGCAGCTCCGAGACACATTCGATCGAGAGATGAGGAGCCGGCTCGCTGACAGCCGGCCCGCCTGGCGTCCCATCATCACCAGGTGCGGTGTCCTTGTCGGCGGAGGCCGGGACCACGGTGACGTCGTCAGCGGCCCCGGGAGCAGGGGCCGAAGAACTCGCCTTCGCGCCGGGGCCCGCATCGCCGCTGGACGTCTGCTTTCGACTGAGCTTGGTGGACCCAGCCTCAAAAAGCAGTCCGGCCGCCAGGGCATCCCAGCCATATGGACGATCGACTTCCTTGTACTTGCGATGGTACACCTGGAGGAACCAACGGAGGATCTCTGTGCGCGGCAAAGGGTCAGTCTCCCACTGGGCGGAGGGGGGGGGGGGGGGGGGGGCGAGGGCGAGGGCGAAGCAGGCTCCCGGATATCCGGCAATGGAGGTGTGCCCAGATACCGGCAGGCCGGCACCCACGCACCCGATAGCACACAGTCGCCTCGAGCGAAGAGGAGCAGCTCCTCCCGACGATCGGCATATGAGTCGGCCAGTGATTGGGCCATGGATTGGCGCTGGCGCCGGGCGATGAGCTCCTGTCGCTGGGCCTCGGCCTGTGCCGAGCTCAAGCCCGACTCAAGGCGCGTGCGCTCCAGGTGGGCCCGGAAGGTGGCCGCGCGATCAGGATCCACTCGCTCAAGGAAGGCCAGCTCGGCCTCGGCACGCGGCGCCAGGGCGCCAGCGCTGCCGCGCACAAAGGCCCCCTGGCCATCTTCGCCATCGCTGTCGATGTCAGCCAGGAAGTCCGCGTACTCGGTGACATAGCGCGACCACCGGTCATAGTCATTTGTAAGGGGGGTTCCCTGTGCGGTGGAGGAGGTCCCCTCACCCAGGGGGACAGATCCGTTGGATGTCATCTTGGGAGGAGGGGTGTGTATGTGTGTATGTATGTGTGTGTCTGTGTAGCCGCGTGTGCGCGTATCCCTGTATCCGTGTAGCCGCGTATGCTGCAAAGGGGCAGAACAAAGGGCGATGAGAAAGGCGAGGAGGGAAGGGAGAGGGGGAGGCTGAGACAGCGATCGGGAGCTCGGGCACAGGACAACAAGAGAGGTACGAGAAAGACGAAAGTCGGAGGGGAGTGGCTGGTGGAAGGGGCCTCCCCAAAAGCAACGCCATGCTTCCACCCGTAAACGCTGGATATGCGCGGGCCTCCACGCATACTGCTTCGCCCGGCGCATCGGCTTCAGTCCGGGGAGGAGGGATCGGCCGGAGGGGGGGGGCATAGTGAACTAAAGATCGGGCGCGTTGGCAGGGCAAG